CCCCACCCTTCTCTTTAAAATATTCAGGCAAAAGGTGTTAGGCAAGTGAAAACCGCCCCACGTCTGGAAATATTTCCACTGCTGGTTTACAGAGGAAAACAACAATTTGACCCCATCACTTTGAAGAAAGGTAGAGAAGCAGTGCTGCTCGAACTAAAGAGGGATTTGTTTTATTTTGTTAATTGCAATCCTTTTGAAAAATGATACTTAGCCTGCCAGTGAGGTGCTAATTAATGTGAGGATGTGGTGCACCATACAATAAAGGCTGCTAGTGAGGAATGTGAATGAAGTAGAGATTGTTCCTGAGGTGTTGATGGGTAAACAAGATTGCTGCAGAGGTGGGCCACAGGTAAGCTTGACTTTGCATTTTTTGCAAACTGTTGCCTTGCTCTTTGTGTTCATTTGTAGACATTTTCCATGGTGGGAAACTTGAGAAAGAGGAAAATCCTTCCCTTGGAGCCACCACTCTGAGTTTTCAGACACAGCAGTCTTTAGGATGGGGAGATGCTCAGAGCAGCAGCATTAAAAAATCACCATCAGCATTTTAAAATCATGATTAAGATTCTGTTTCTCACACTGTAATTTTATTGGAAGCTCTGCCTGCTTGTCTGATTGTACATGAAAGTGTGTAACTGTGGCCTCCACACTGACAAAAACCTTTACACTGAGTTTAGAACCAACGGCATTTTGGTTTTGCATCTTAAATCTCTTCAGTTTTCCTCTTGGCCATTTTTGCTGTTCAGACAGTAGCATTGTGTAAAACACCCCACTCACAGAGAAAAAAATATTAATTTTTTTTCTGGTTCACAATTATTTAGGGAGGTTTTCTTGGTCTATCACAGAGGCTTTATATTTAAGACTTTTCCCATGCAGACATATGGAGGAGCAGTTTGCTGCCATATGCTGATATTATTGATAACATTGTTAATAGGGTGGCACTGTGGCCCATCCCCACAAATGACTGTCTTTTGCAGCCTTGGCTTACAATCAAATGTGAAAACATGCCAGTGTTGTACTTAAGAAATCTCCCTGGAATAATAAACATTCCAGGTCCCCAAATAGCGTTATGTTTGACGTGAAAATTTAAACAGCTGTCTGAAGTACAGTCATCACAGGACTGGAAAGGGTGAATTTAGGCAAGCAGAGTATGCAACCAACTGTGACTTAGTTGCAGACAGGTTCAGCCATATTCTCCTGGGAAATTCATGCTCAGTGAGGTATTTTTCTTCATTTTGTTTTGAATTATACAAAAGGACAAGCCTCGATCATGTGTCCAGTCTGTGGGTGGTCCTAGTACAGGATATGGCTCTTCAGCAGGTGTATTTTATTCAGATACTGGAAATAAAATCCTCCAGCTGTGAGGAGGATGCTATCACAAGCTACCTGAGTAGTACAGAGTACTTCATAATGAATGTTCCTAATGGATGAGCTCAGACTCACCAACCCCCCAGCATATGTGTGCACTTGTTGAGAAGGCAGACAAACAGGAGTATGAGCAATGAAGGAGGAATATCCACTCTGCTAGAAGAAAAATAGGAAAAAGATACATTGAAATATCTGGGAGTGCTTGCACTCATTACTCAGAGTCAGAGGAAGGAGCTGAGGGTCAAAGGAAGGACACCGAGTCCAATCAAGGGGGTGTGTGTGTAGGCAACTTTTGGTTGTCAGCTGGCCAACGTTAGTGTCACCCTGCTGTCAGCAGCGCTCTTCCAGCCCAGGGAGAGCTGTCCACAGGAGCACAGCTGGGTGAGGAACGTTCCAGTGCCTCAGCAAACAGCAATGTCCCCGCAGCTGCCTGCACTGGGAGAGGCACAGCAGCTTCCATGCAGGTGTGTTACAGCCACCAGCTGCCGTGGGGCATCCCGTGTCCCCGTGTGGAACACCTGGCTGGGAATATGGAGCTGGAGCTGGCCAGTCCGATGCCACTCAGGGTTTCCTGAGTGGATTTTAGAGTACACGGTGGACACAGGTTTTCCCAACCTAGAGGAGATGCTTTTCCAACCAGTGTGATACACCAGCAGATGAGGAAAAAGGGAGAGGGTTGACCAAGCTTCTTGTGGAAAGAATGCTTCACCTGAAAAAATGCAGTTTTGAAACATACATTGTGGTTTTGTGACCAAAATGCTTTCCCTGATGAAACATTGAAGAATTAAAAGAAGGATATAATTTTGACATGCAGAGATGTTGTACAATGGATTGTATCTTCTATAGGTGGGGTTTTTTCCCTTTATCGAAATATTTCTGAATTCTTGTGCCATTGCACATTTAACTCCCTGTTCCAAAGGGAGAATAATGTTGGAATATTAAAAAAACAAAATAATCATGCTTGATAGCAATTCTATTTGCTGATTTGTCTATACTCCTATATATAATATTTCTATAACCCTGCTGGCTATAAGTTTCATAAGTTAATAATTTTTTTCAACTGCACCATTTATATGATGTGGAGATTTGCTTTTTGGCAGTCCCAATACTCCAAGCTTGCCATGTATTTCATGTGGAAAAGCAGAACTTTCCCAGATGTGCAATCGCAGAATTCTGTGATTTTTTGCTTTTAATTTACCTTGATAGGGCCAAAACAAAATCTTATTGACTGTAGAAAACTGTGTAACCATTTGATCAGCACTGAGCAGAGTACAGAACTATTTATTTTTTTTCAGTCTTCAAAAGATCATTGTTATTTTTAAAAAATTAGCAAGACTCTTTTAAAGAGACCGTGGGTAAGAGCTCCTTTTGTTTCCAAAGTTTGTCTCCACTTCCCACACACGTTCAACCCAGTTCTGGATATATATTTAAGGCAGAGAGAGCTCCAGGCTGTTTGTACAATGATTGGCAGGAGGCAATCTTTCATGCAGTCACACAATTGTGCCCTTAAAATATAAGCTATGAACACAACTAATACGATAATTAAATGATTTTTAGGAGATTACCTGATAAGAGATACCTAATAAAATAAACAGTTCCCCATCATCTCGGCAGTAAGAGTAATCTTAACTTTCAGAAAGTGCACTTTATCTTGAAGGCTTCCAGAGCCCCCAGTGCTGGCAGCACTTTGCACATGTCCAACCATACCCCAGAGCCTGGTGAAAGGCATTGCTTCCCCACAGGGAGGACAACCAGAGTGACACGCACTGCAACCTGCTTGGGAAGGGCAACCAAAAGCTGATTTTGGCATAGGTAAAGCATGGATGTGATTACCCATGGAACAGGTTGCCCAGAAAAGCTGCGGATGAAAGACTTCATGCAGAGGCAAAGTCCTGAATGCTGATCAACCAGCACAATGTCTACATGTCACCTCTCCGGTGGCTCAGGGGATTTCTGAGAAACAGCACTGGTAATCACAGAATCAAAGAATGGCTTGGATTGGAAGGGACCTTAAAGATCACTTCATTTCACACCCTCTGCCATGGGCAGGGACACCTTCCCATAGATCAGATTGCTCCAAGCCCCATCCAAACTTTATTTGAGCATGTCCAGGGATAGGGCTTCTCTGGGCAACCTGTTCCAGTGCCTCACCACATTCACAGTGAAGATTTCCAGAAAGTTCCCAGAACTAGTTCTGGTAAAAGACACCACACAGCTCCTGTTCCTTCAGTCTGGTGTTTTTCTGGATCTTCCTCACATCAGATATGCACACAAAGCCACATTTCCACTGGTGTGGGGATGTTTTTTTTTTTTTTTTGTTCTCTTGTGGAGAACAAATCATTTCTGCCTGTTGCATCCACAGGGCTGTGGGTGAAGATGAGCATAGCAATGTAACTGAGAGTCTCCTCATTATCCTGCTGTAACTGTATCTCAGAGGTAGACAATTGCCCTAGGCTTAGATTTTCTCAAAATTTATGTGTATCAAAAGGGATCTTGCACAGGCAAAAAGCACCAAGTTGATTTTTCCGAGAGCAGCTTGCCATTTTAAGCAGTTGTTGGCTTAATAAGTGAAATAGCTCAGGGCTGTGTGCATGCCATAATGATTGCATTCTGTAAGAAAAGACTGTGCCTATGGGTCTCAAAGTTTCAGAGCCAAGACTAGTCATATTTGTGGTCTTTAAGTCGCAACCCCGAGCTATTCTCACCACTGCAGATAAGGGATAGCTGATCATAAGAATAACACTGATTTTAAAATAACTAACCACAGCAAAATTAAAATGACCTAGTCAAGCAATACAAAGGATGTATGATTGACAAGATAGCTGTTCTTTGAAATGTACTGAAGGCAGTAAATAGCATCTTATGCCCATAAGCTATTTTCTATCTTAAAGCCAAGAATAATGATCTGGCATCTGTCCTTCCTGAGTGAGGATTCAGTTCTGAAAGCTGCGGCAGCTCCCTCCCAAACGCCTCTGGAAATGATAGGAGGGGTGTGCTCATTGTAATTAGACCATGGGCTGCTTCTCTTCTTTTATTCCAAAAGGGTTTCTCTCTAATGTAAACAGCTGTGCAGGGTGGAAATGGAAAGTTTCGCCTCTTACACTTGTGCTTAGGCAGATTTAACTCACATTTGCATTTCCTTGGGTTGAGCAGCCAGACAAGGAAATGCAGCATCAGCAGGGCCAATTCTTGATTTATCTTTGTCCCCATCAAAAACTCAAGAGGCAACCAAGATTTTGTTGAACTGTAATCTAGATAACTTTACCTAATTCCCCAGAATTCAAAGAGCTGCCAAGCTTTTCTGTGCAGTCCCTTCCTGGCCAAGGAACACATGGGCTGTGTACAGCGTGGATGCACAGGATCAGATTGTAGGCCTGCAAGTTACATATTCCCTGCAATGTGGTCTAGGTTTGGTCTACGTGAACTGTGACATAAAACACTGGGGCTTTGCATCTTTTGCTTTCTCTTTGGAAGGGGTTTTCCTTCTGTTGGTGTCTCATTAGAACTACAGAAGAGCAGAAAACGTAAATTGGAGGCCATTTCTGTTCCTATTTCTACTGAAGCAGCTGCAGAGCACCATTATCACTGCCTTACAATCACTGTAATGTTTCCCTTTGGTGCCCTGTTTGTGGCATATTGCAAACCCAATCACATAGGGGTGCACAGGGGTGCAAATTCCTAAATTCCATGACCCTGATACCCAATAGGGAAGAGTCCCTGTTGCTGAGTCTGCAGCAGCAGTAGCAGGGTTTGCCTGTAGCACTTTGGCAGCCCATCCCAGCACCTGAACTGCTCATCCCCTATTCTCATCTCACAGGAGCAACAGGAATCAAGAAATGCTAATAAAGCACCAGATTTTTGCCTTTTCTCCCCCCACCCCGTTAAAGGCTGGAATGCAATCTGATGAACAGAGAGCTCTTGGAACATGTCAGATGGCTTTGAGGAAAGTAAAATGCTCCCTCTTTCGGGACTGGTATGTTTTCTGATGTTGTTGTAGAGGGTTTTTTTGTTGTTTTTCTTTTTTCTTTTTTTTTTTTTTTAAGTGAAAAGGAGAATTGTAACTTCCTTTACACCAGTGCATCAGCATAATACGTTCCTGCCTTCAGGTACTGTATGTCATTGTTATGAGTACATTTTGACATCTCTCACACTTCCAGCACTCCAAAGATCCATGACAGAGCTGAATGAAAACTTTTTTTTTTTGACTTGGCAGGAGCAGTAAGAACACATAAAACCTGCCAGCTGTCAAGGATGTAACTGGTGATTTTGTTTCACTTTTTTAATGAATTAAAGCAGGATTGAAATCTGTCCAAAGACAGCATGTTGGGCCTTGCAAGGAAAGAAAAAAAAATGAAAGGGAGGGATTTCTTTTTTTTCCTCTTTTGGCACCTCTGCTCAGAGAGTGTTTATTCTTGGTAGCACAGTATAGGATGGAGCTACTCTACTGGAAGAGCCTTGACTGTCAGACATGAGACACCTTATAGGGACTGGTTTCAAGAAAGGAAATAAAAATACTAATTTTTGCCCTATTTCAAGCCAGGAACCTGAAAAATACTGCACCCCTCACTGCTTTGGAGAAAGGTGACAGCAAACCATTGGCAGAAGTAATTTTGTGTTTCATTTACACTGTAGATACACTGAAGCCAAACTAAAATCTGATGGATTTTTCTTACAAATCGTGTTTCTTCCTGCCATCTTACTGATAACACTTTTGGGGGGAGAGGGGACACAAGTGTATCTTTCATTTGTGAGGCTGGACTTTGAAGCATGATGTACCTCTGAGGGACTGCATTTGGTCCCTCTGGTTTCATGGTCCCAAAGTCCAAAAGCACTTTGTGTTGGAGCTTCTGGAAGATGTCCTGAGTATAGACACTGGACGTGGACCTGTGTAAAAAAACATTGTGGTTCTGAGCTCATCAGCATTGCATATTTTTAACGTACTTTCCTTATTATTGAAAATTATCTTTACAGCTTGAATGGGAAAAAAATGGCTGTTTCAGAATTTATCTGCAGTTTAGTTCCTTTCTCAGTTTCTTACATTTTGCACTTCAAACATCTTTGACCGTTGTCCATGATTGATTCAGACTGTTTTGCCTGTGTTTGCAGCACTACACTCTCATATATCTATTTGTTCCATTACTCAAATTGCACATCTATTCCTCTGGGGGAACCTTACTCTGTATCTCATGTACTTAAGCACAGTGTGACCCCCTCTCTATACATGTGTGTACATGTATTCCCTCTGCAGGGATGAAAATACGGTAAAGAATTTACCAGGTTCTTTACTTTTTATGCCATAATTTCTGCTTAAGATTTTCAAGTGATGTCCCATCTAAGAACTAGCCAATCCAAGATCATAGTGAGTGTGTTATCAGTTGTGAAGGCTATCTCAGCACCTTAAAAACTGAACTGCAGGGGTCTTTAACAGCACAAGCAGAGAGAAAGGAAAACTGTTCTTTTGGAAAATTTAGAGCCTCTCATCAAAACAAGTTCATATTGACTGGTGTTCCTGGACCAAAGACCCTCCTGGAAGCTCAGCTCAGCACATCTCCAATAAAGTGTCCTGTGTGCAGTGGAGAAGAGGTTCCACGTGCCTGGCAAGAGGTGCATGGAGCACATTAGCTCTTGCAGGGATTTACAAACAGCCTTCAACGTATGCGTTGTGAGCAGACCTGTTAATTCGATGTGACTTCTCTGGCAAGCCAAGCCCACTTAAGCCAGATGATTTAGACAAAATAAAAGAGAAAAAATTTGTTCAGACAAAACAAAAGTTGAGCACTAACTTCTTCCAAAAAACTCGAGATGAACCTGAATTTCTGAAAAAAAATGCGTAACTCCCTTTTCCTCCCCTCGCCTCTCCCTCAGCCTCCTAAACCCCTGGCACCTACCCACTTTAGCTGGAACAGAATGACTCTTCTCAAGTTTCCAGCCTCTCTTCAAGTAGGAAGTATAGAAAATCTCACAGGAAAGCCTTTTCTTATGAGCTTTCCAGGCAGGTTTTCTGAATAAAGAGAGTCTTACACATTTCAGTTATTTATTAAGTCTTCTGAGGAGCTTCCATCCCCAGCTTTAATAGAAGCCTTCAGACACAACATGTAATTACAGGATGAAAATCTGCTAAACCCTACAACCACTTTGGTAAACTCTGTAAGAGTGTAGGAAATACAGTGAAAATTTGGACCCTTTTCTCATTTTTGGGAAGAGAAATGTTCTTTTAAGCAGCATAGCAGATAATTTCAGCACTTACATGACAGCAGAAAAGGATAACCTGATGAAATGGGGAAGCTCAGCAAATAAATATTAAATTGCAGTATTTTCCTCACTTTGGGGCAGTTGTCCAAAGACACAGAGCAGCTTCACTCACCTCTGGATCCTACTCTTACTCTGCATCTTTTACCTCTGTCTCAAATGGGGAGAACCTACTCAAAGAAATGAATCCAACTGCCTCCTCCTCGATGGAAATTAAAACCCAGGAGATGAAAGGAAAGGAATCCCTGCTGTCTTTGCAAGTCACGCTTTTCTTCCACTCGTTTTAATCTGGGGGAGCTTCCCCACACGGAGTGGCTTCCCCCAGCAGGGGTGAGGCACATCTGCCTCCACCAGTGGTCCCAAGCCTTGTGATAAGGGAATTGCAGCCACCAAAAGAAGCAGTGGGTCCACTGATAAAGTGATGAGCAGAGCAATTTAGGCACTTAAATCTTGCTTTGGGTGGGAACAGGGGGAAAGATAGGAATGGCTGAGCAGAGAAAGAGACAAGTGACAGCTTCTCGCCCTCCTGCCCCCAAGTCACAACACATTTTATGCCACCAACACACAGCCCTGAGGTAAAAGCTGTGTAGGAAAGAAGTGATTATTTACTCACTTGCTGAAGAGGTAATTTGTGCTATACTATGAAAAGTTTTAGGTTTCCTGATGTATGGGAGGCAAAAAGCCCCCAAATTTGGACGCATGGGTTGGCATCTTCAATAGAGAGAAGGTGCATGGTGTTTAGCCCCACTTTCTTTCATGGGGCTGCAGTGCTTTAACTGAGCTTAATCCTTTTTAATGAACACTTTGTTGATGCAAATGAGCCCACAGATGTCTGTTTAAAGGAAAATACCGAAAAATCTTTTGAGAGGCTGTGACTCTGTAAGATAGACTTGGCTTAACTAAATAGTGCCACACAAAGGTGAGTGAAAAATAACTACAAGTTAAAAATAACACTTCTGGGAGGATGTTTCAGAGGAGAATGTTTTCTGAACTGGTGAATTTTTCATGTCATAGTTATGAAAAGAATAATAATTTGATTCCACTCTTTTCTCCAAAAATAGTTCAGAAGAGAGAAATACTAGCACTGTTTTCAAACAGGGTTTTCCTGTACTTTAAAGTTACTCTCTTTTGAAAAGCAGGAAAGAGCACAAAGTAACACTGGCTGTTTTGCCAGTTGGAAAACATCTAGAAAGTGTGAGAATGTGAAGGGAGGGGGGAAATCACATCCTAAAGCTTTGTAACCATTTTTCAGCTGGAAAAATACTGGAAAGCAGAAAGATGTTCCTTTCTTCATATATTCTTAGTTTGTAGAATAACCATTCTACAAACTGCTGGAATACCATTGTCTCCCAGGAAAGATATTCAGCTCAGAAAAATCAAGAGTTTTCAAGCACTCTCTAACCACACACCTCTGCAGTATTTCTGCTCACTGACAGATACACAGGACATTTGTCAGGCTGCATATTTACTCCTAAATATGTTACTACAAATGCCATGGCCAGATGGATCCTTCTGAGCACAACAATTTTCCATTTTTTTTGCTGTGAGTGGTTTTTTTAAAAAGAGTTTTAAACGTACACTTACATACAAATACAAGACAAGCATTTCTTTCTTAGGACCCTACTCACTTAGGAAACATTTCAAACATTTTCAAGAGAAGGATAATAAGGAGCACATACATCAACAGCAAATTTAGAACTGGAATCATTACTCAGTGAATTTTCCAGCTCAATTTGCCATCTCTAATAATTCTTACTTTACTGTTCTTAATACTCTGAAAGGTTTGTTGGATGGCTTAATCAGTTAGAACTATCACATTGCATAAAAATTTGATTTCCTTAAACTGGTGACCTTCCCCCCATCATTCAGCTTTGCTGGATGACCCTTCCCACTCTCACTGGAAGTTACTGCAATCAAATAGTATTTGGGATATTCACGTATCCTTTTGCCCAAGCCACCTTTTGCAGATCATTGCACAAGGTGCTGTGCTTTCCCCTTGCTCCACCAGAGGCTATTGCTTAAAAGATCCAGTTCCTGTAAAAACAATCATAGGTCAACGTTGAAAGAGTGATGGAAAGACCCATTTCAGTCATGTGTTTTTTGGCACGGAACCACTGCGAGTGCATAATCTGTATAAATGTTAGCTTTCTAAATAAACAGAACCTCTGGTTGCATGAAAGCAGCGAATAAAGTTGAAACTTGTTCCTCTCATTAAGCAACGCTTCAAAACCAGGGCTTGTTTTGTTCTAAACATCCGTCAGTCCTGACAGATGATAATAAACAAATAGGAACAATAGCAACGAAGCCGACAGAGCTACCCTGGACACTTTACTGTGTTCTTTTTTTCAAGTATGGAAGTATTTTGCCCACTATATAACATGGAATGGGGATGGGAAGGTCTTTGGGGCTCATATTCATGCAGCTCCTCTGTTTTGGGACTTCGTGGTGGTGTCAGCACAGCTGTGCCCCCAGGGCAATCCTACGGGCAGTGCCTTGATTCCATCCATCCATGCCTGTGGGATGTTGGTGATGTAAACTTCCCACTTGGGATCCGTGAAGGTTATATGGGAAAATAGCCTGGAAAGTAAAGAGGAAAAAAATAAAATTGATCCATCCAAAGCAATTATAAAAAAAGAGTCTCCTAATAGTGCACTGAGGTATTTTTGAAAGAGATGAGAAAGTAATGTTTTCTGTATACTATGCTGTAAATATCTTAAAAATCTTACTTCTTTTTTCACACCTACAGCAATATTTGCCCTCCATCTCTTCCCAGGACTGCCAGGGATCACTCACGTGCTGCCTTTCTGGGAAAGCCAGAACATGGAAAACAAGCACATCTTATAGCTGAGGGTGGACACCTGACACCACAGATAATGTAGTGATTTTTAAAGATGTGATTTCTGTGCAATTAAAGGCATGCTACTGCTGGAGAAGGAGGAATTTTGATTCTAATGTAGGTGAGTTTTAAGTCACTCAGCAACTTGTCTGAGGCAAAGGTACAATATATGCCTTTTATTTTTTAAAAAACACTGTGATGATTTGCTGCCAGTCACATAACACTAAACCATGGTTATTTTAAAAATAAATACATAAATATTAATAAATAAATATTTATTTAAAGTATTTATAAAAATAATATTATAATATTTTATTTTAAAATTTAAATATAAATAAATATTTTTTACATAACCATGGTTATTTTTAAAAAAACCAGGTCACTTTAAAATCACTTTTTTCTTTGCCTGGGCAGCACAGTGGTGGCAGGACCATGAATCTTATCTCATGAGTGTATATTCATTTTCTTCCAGTGTGTAAAGGCATCAGATCAAATTAAAAAAAAAAATCAAACCAATCAAAAATAAAATTAAATTAAATTAAATTAAATTAAAAATAAAATAAATAAACTAAAATAAAATTTAAAAATAAAATAAAATAAAATAATAAAATAAAATAAAATAATAAAATAATAAAATAGAATAAAATAAAAAATAAAATAAAATATAATATAATATAATATAATATAATATAATATAAAATAAAATGAAATAAAATAAAATAAAATAAAATGAAATAATAAAATAAAAAATATAATATAATATAATATAATATAAAAATAAAATAAAATGAAATA